TCGATCTCCTCCTCCTCTTCCTCCTCCTCTTCCTCCTCTCTTTGGTGGTCACCGCTACCTTACGGAACCTCAGTTAATACCGATTGGCAACGATCAACAGAAACTGCTGCAAAGGGACGAGCGGTTTCGAAAATCAGATAGAGAGCTCAAAAAGGCAATTATGAGGTAGAGAACGCTAGAAACTCTATCAGTTCATTTATTTCTGCCGATCTCTTTTTTCGCCACCGCCATTTCGACACGATGGTGCATAGCTCTGACGATACACGCAGATATGTATGTATGCATATATATCCCTCCTTCTCTTCTTTCTCTCCCCTGCCACAGGGGCCTTAGATTTCAGATATGAGGTCAGATCTAGTGTTTTATTGGTGTTATATATGTGTGAGTGTGAGTGTGAGTGTGCGCTCACACGCGCTTGTATGCTTGTATAAATCCAAATTTGGTCTTGATCTTGGTTAGAAAATGGTTTCACAATGGTGATCTGATCGAACTCCTGGAAATCGCCTCAGATCTGCTTGAACTTAGCCTCAAATCTATTCAAAATTTCTGTGTGTATATATAGTGGTGAAACAGATTTTTTTCGGATATTTTTTATTTCCTGTCTGTTGTTGCTATGTATGTAGTAGTGAAACATATATATTTTTTGGATTTTTTTCTTCTTATTTGTTGTTTTTGTTTTTGTTTTTGTTTTTGTTTTTGCTTTTGTTGTTGATGATGATGATGATGATGAAATAGATTGTAACAAGATATTAAAAAAATTAATAGATAAGACATATCTATTTTGAACAGATAATAGGATTTTGATATATACAAATAGGTGCTTGATATTGCAACAGATAAGGGTTGGTTTGGCTCTTTATTTCAATAGATAGAATTTGATTTGGCTTGGTATTTCAACAGATAAAAAAAATAAAAAAAATAAGTAGATAATAAAATTTTGACAGATAAGGGAAAAAATTAAACAGATAGATATAAATTTGAACATGTAGAAAAAAATTAAACAGATAAAAAAAAAGTCAACAAAATAATTAAGGGCAAAATTAAAAACAAAGGGTATGTTTTGTTTGTGTTTGAGAGATGTGTTTTAGAGATAAAAAGTACGAAAAGTTGTTTGGTTTGGTTTTTTTCAAAAGATGTTTTGGAAAATTATTTTGAGAGAGAGTTTTGAAAAAAGTGATTGATTTGATGTGTGTGAGAGCGAGATTTGTTTGGAAAACTTGTTTGGTTTACAAGTTTTGAGAAATTTTTTTGGGAAAATTTGTTTGATTTGATTACTTTTAAAAACTTATTTGTAGAGAAAATTTCCCAAAAATTTTTCAGAAATACAAACCAAACGAACCCAAAATATCTTTCAAAACAAACAAAAAGGTTTCTCACCAAATTAATTCATAAAGTGTGAATCTCTCACCATCAAAAAATACCTTTAGTTTGGACTTTTTAACAATTTTCTTTAAAAAAAAAAATGAAGATTTTCTTAAGTTATAATTTATAATTTTTTTAAACTTGTTTGAAACCCTTAAATATGGATGAAATAGTTTCATATTTTTTTGCATTTAATTTTTTAGGGCATGGTGGATATTTTACACAACAAAAAAGTTACGGTACGTGACAATTTATTAGCTAAACATTTTTTTTTTACAAATTATGAAAAGTTGTTCCAAGCAAATTTACAACTTATTTATAAAATTTTTATGCTAATAATAAAAAATATTATAATCATATAACTTTTTAATTCTTTTATTTACACATCATTAAGTCTACAAAGTGGGTCTATAAAGTGAACTTATATACAATTTTTGAAATTATTGATTATTCTACCCATCATTAAGTCTACAAAGTGGGTCTATAAAATGAACTTGTATACAATTTTTCAAATTATTGATTATTCTACCAACTACATATATAAAAATAATAAGGGGGAGTTACAGGCCGGTCCTTTGGGCTGGACTTAATTTTCAGGAAGTCTTGACCCAAAATTTTACCCCTTATTCAGTTGAGTGTTTTTAACCTAAACCCAAACACATTCCTATCTGTATTTTTCTCTCTTCTCTCTTTCTCTCACTCTCCTATTTCTATCACTGGCATACCATCTCCTCATTCTCCATCACCATATATGTCGCTCGGCTCAACCTCACACACTTCAACCACCACCGTTCTTCTCCTTCGTTGCCATCACCTTTGCTTCCCCTCTTATCATTTGTCTGATAGCTTTAACATCGCAATCCTCCATCATCGATCTATCATCTTCGACATCGTCGTTGCCACCATCTTCCTCCATCACTGATCTACCATCTTCGACATTGTCGTTGCCACCATCATTGGTTTGGGATGCAAAGTATCTAATCAGTGCATTGAAAGGTGTTGTTGATCTTCTACAGACGTGTAACTAATTTGATAAATTTGTTACTTAATTCAGTGATAAATTTGTTACTTAATTTATGAATGATAAATTTATTAATTAATTCAGTGATAAATTTGTTATGATGCCCTTCTTTCTCTTAAATCAAGTTTGCTATTTGTAAATTTTTTAACAAATTCAACAGTGATAAATTTATCACTACAACTCTGCCTGAGATTTGTTGCAGGATAAATTTATCACTGAATTAGACTTTTGATTCTTTGTCTTGATTTGTGACAGCGTAAAATGATAAGAATTATTCTCTGGTAATGGCCTCTCATCTCTCTCCTTCATTCTCTTCATTTTTTTTTTCCCTCTTTTTCTTCTATCACCATCAAATCTGAGGAAGAGGATGTGTTAGTGACGTGTTGGAGATGAAAAATGGCCAAAAAAAATATTGTCGGAGGTAGGGGTGTAAATTTGGCCGGCCCAGGCCCGAGCCGACCCATGTCGCGCCTTGCTAGCTCCTACCAAAATTTGGGCCGGCCCGACCCACAGGCCAGAAAATTAGGCCCAGGCCTAGAGAGTATTCAGGCCTCGGGCATGGGCTTAGGCTCATGCTTGAACAAATTTTTTGTTTTTTGTTTTATATTTTTTCTATCAAAATTTTATTATTTTTCACTAAAAAAAAACATTGAGCCTCGAGCAGACCAGGCGTTGAGTGGGCCTTAAGCAGGCCCATGGCGGAACGGGTTTCAAAATGATGGCTCAAGCCCAGGCCTAAGATCTCGGGCTAGGCTTGGGCCCAGACCCAAATGAGCCTAAACGGATTGGGCCCACCCTAGGCCGTGGGCAGGCTTCGGGTAGCCCACAATCTGCGGACTATTTTTACCCTCCTAATTGGAGGTTTACAATTTGGAGTTAGAAAACAAATAGGAAAAAAAGAAGAAAAAAAAAAAAAAAACAAAAGGGCAAAAGTATAACAATAGGGACAAAGTTGGGATAAAAAAAATATAACAGGATTTTCTTGTGCAAGAGATAGAAACTTAGAATCTAATGGGTAATAGATTTAGTGCTATTTTGGGAAGTTGGCTTTTAGCAACTTTTTTTGGTTTCTAGCAAAAGCCAAAAGTTGGCTTTTTTGCATTTTTTTTTTCATTTGGGAAGTTGATTTTTAGCTACAAGTAAAATTACAATTCTACCCCTCATGAGTCAAAATGTACTACATGATTGAAGTTGTAAATATTTTAAATTAATGGAGATAGTTTGGTCATTTTATTGTGATTTGACATCATAAACAAATATTAATAAAAAAAGTCAAAAACAACTTTTTACTAACTTTCCAAATCATTTGTTTAAAAAAGTCAAAAGCTTGGTTAAAAACAAAAAAAATTACTTTTCACCATCTTCCCAAAATAGGCTTTAATTATTGGGACAAGCTGGTAAAAAGACAAAATAATAATAAATCCGGGTTGCACTCGGGTTAAATTGACCCAAATTGCAATCCGAATGTTGGTTTTGGGTGGTCGGGTTTGAAGTCCGGACCATATGGACCTCGGTTTGATCCGAGCCTGCACAATGCGCACCTGAAACCCCAATTCCTAGCCGAGCCATAGCATGTGCGCAGTACGCACACCTGCCATGGCAGCCATCAGCTTCGCTTCGCATTCGGTTCTAAGAAGAACCCTTCATTCATTTGTCACTCCTCGTCCACTTGTCATCACCAGCAACAAACTCTCTCACTACACTACCCTTCTCTCTCTTCCTCTCAGTTCTTCAGGTTCTTGTGTTTTTATCAATTTAATATCTTTCCATTCAAGAATTGTGATTTTTTAATGGTTAATTTGTGTGTTATTGAAGACCCATGGGCTGATTTGTAGAAAAATATGTGATTTTTTGGTATGTGGGAGTGTCATTTTTTTTTCTCCATCAAATTGAGAAATTATCATATCCTTTATCAAATTTGAATTTGTTAAAAATTTGAAAGGATGAAGCATTGGGGATGATATATATATATATTTTCATCAGATTTAATGAAAAGGGAAATTTGGGATAAGAGGGGAATTTTTAAATAGATTTTGATGAAAGGATTGGAGTAGTTCATCATATCAAATCAAGGTTTTTTCTCAAATTTGGAATCAAATTAGATGAAAAAATTGGTGAAGGGTTGGAGGTTAGTTAGAATCTATACCTGATGTGCATTACAAAAATTTTATATGTTAGGTCACTTTTAGCCTATAGGACACAAACGTGAAATTTCACCTGATCTTGCCCCCATTTGCTACCAATCAAGTACTGTGTTTAAATATGTGCATTGTTGAATACCCATGTGCTGAATTGTAGAAAATTATGTGATTTAATTTATATGTTAGGTCACTTTTAGCCTATGGGACGCAAATGTGAAATTTCACCTGTTCTTGCTCCCATCTGCTACCAGTCAAGTACTGTGTTTAAATATGTGCATTGTTGAATACCCATGTGCTGAATTGTAGAAAATTATGTGATGTTATGGTGTGTGGAACTGAGTTATGTACTGATAATTATGTTAGAATTTGTAGCTGATAAGCATTACAAAATTTTTTACATATTGGGTCATTTTTAGCCCCATTTTTGGCTGTAGACATTGTGAATTGATCCCTACGGGGCAACAAAATGAGAAATTTCTCACCTGTTCTCACCCCCAGTTGGAACTACACTATCAGAAATGACAATTGGTGATGCCCTGACTTGTGTCACTGATATGTTTCGTCACTGTAACAATGGCTACCACCAAACAGAAATTATGATTGCAGAAATCCTATACGCCATAGTCTTTGATTTGCACCTTTTTGATACTTCTTGTGACACAGCTGCAGGTACGTGTCGCTTGCCACAAGCTATCAAAGGCGATGTTGACAGCTTGCTTGGAGGAGTGAGAGACAAGGGTGCCATTGAAGCTGTGAAGCATATCGTCGAATTGGTATTTGCTTTACTTAGTTTCAATAATTTCTGTACATATTGCCTTGCGAAGACAACTAATAATTTCTGTATATATTGCCTTGCAAAGACAACTACACTGAGCACTGTAGGAGGAGGAAAAAGTTGAATAATTTCTGGCTGTTTGATATGCATGAACGATAGTTCTGATTTATTGATCTACCTCTGCCTCTTAGGCAAGACGGGCATCATCTAGGAGAGAAGTCCTTCATACTGATTTTCTCACACCACCCATCCTGAATGAATCTATTATAGTATTGGGAAAGTTAGCTGACATCAAAGCAGTGGCTCAGGGAGGATACCCACAGGTTAAATTGAATCAAGAATTTCTGTTGGATTTTCTTTCAGTAAATATTTTCCACACTTATACGTTAAATATCTTTCAAGTCTTCCAGGCTGAGCGTTGTCGGCTTTCAGTTGGGCATCCACAAGCATTTACAACCGATCCAGATATTGTTGCGGCATTAAGGCAAGTCATTGAATGTGCATCATTCTTTGAGTGTAGTAGCAATACATATTTATTTATTATTATTATTATTATTTGAAATAAAAAACCTTGTTTGTTAAATGGTAACTCTTGCCAGTATCACAGGAAACTTTGGGTTTCACCCTTGTTCTCATGGTGACTTCCTTGGCACAATTCTTGGTACAGGGATTGCTAGGGAGAAGTTGGGGGATATTATCTTGCAGGTATCATCTCCAATTAATTCGAGATATGCATTCATCATCATCATCGTCATCATCAGAACAAAATAACACTTGTAAAGATTTTTTATTTCATTTAAACTGGTCACTGATACCTGTAATGGACAATGGATCCCTAGTACGATAATCCTTGCTAGAAACTAGGTTGGTAGAGGATGTTTTAATTATAATTTTCCTCAGTTTTTGAGATTCCTTTTTTATTACCTTGCATCTTTTGATTTTTATAATCAAGAAATTATTATCATCCTTAATGTACTCCTATGAATTATGTTTAGGTTGATGTTTAATGATTGTCAGTTTGGTTTAATATACATCTGCTATGCCCAGGGAGAAAGGGGAGCTCAGGTTCTTATTGTTCCAGAACTTGTTGACTTCATCACAGCAGCATTGGACAAGGTAGTGATGCTTTCTTATATATAGCATTCCTGTTCTTTGCCAATTTTTTCAATTTTTTTTTGGTTGTAGTCTTGTAGAAGATTGAGCTAGGAAAGGAGACATGTCTTAGTTTACATGGTGCAACTTCGTTATGATAAGAATAGAATGTGCCTCAAATACAAATTGAAGAAGAAGCCATTATATATTTTCCTTTTGCAGGTTGGTAATGTTCCGGTCACTTGTAAAAAGATACCATTGGTTGCTGTTGAATATGAGCCACCAAGGTAGCAAGTCTTTGCGTTGTCGATCGTTTGTTGGCACTTTTCATCTGGCATCAGTCATACGCTACATGTAATGCTTACACTTTGCAGAACTAAGAGTTTCAAAACCGTGGAAGCGTCACTGAGGGTTGATGCAATAGCCAGTGCAGGATTCAGAATTTCACGAACAAAGCTAGTTGATTTAATCAGGTACACCCTTTTATTTTAGATTTGATGGCTCCATGATTTTTTGTTGATATATTCATTTTCTTATCCTCTTCATGGTTGAAATTATTTATTCCAAGGAATATTCATTATTATCATAGTACGAGGGTTGTAGGAATAACACAGTTGTTACATGGGCAATAATTTGATCCTGCCCCTCGAGGTGTGTGTACATATATGTGGATATATCTATAATGATTTGTGTACTATTAACTATGAGTTAAGGTATATGTTGCTTACCCTCATTTGTTGTAGAACCTAAGTAACCAAATTTCTTCTTCCTAGTAACGGGGATGTGCGGGTTAATTGGACCACTGTCACAAAAAGTAATACCACAATCAAGACCGGAGATATCATCTCAGTTAGCGGAAAAGGAAGACTGAAGGTGAGATTTAGAATCTGTGAAACATTTCTGTCCCGTTAATGCATTGGGCAACACATCATCACAACTCTATTTTATTTTGGTTCAGATAGGAGAAATAAATTCAACAAAGAAGGGAAAGTTTGCAGTAGAGCTAATCCAATATTTATAGAAGGCTTGGCACAGGGCAACACAAAAAGATCATTTTATTTTAGTTTTGGAAGGTTAGTCTTCAGATATCATATATTAGATGCTATTGTGCTTTAAATTGCTTTTGCTTTTGTTTTTAATGTGCTAAATGGCTTAAATCTGTTCACATATTGGTTAAAGCAGAGATATTGTCAAGTTCATTGTTCGTGTAAATTGCCATATGTTTAAATTCCACGTTATCGACTCTGTTTGTGTTTGTGTGTGTGTGACTAGAGTCGGCAATGCATTGGTTGGGATCTTCTTGGTGATTGACTTGCATCAAATCAAAACATATTTGGAGACTATAATAGTTAAACTAGCAGTTGACCTATGCTATGCACGGGATAAAATATTACATTGTTAGTAAAATAAGATATATAAAATATTACACATTTTTATTTTTTGTTGCCATTTTTTCTCTCATAAATATATATATATATATATATTTTGAAACTTTAGGAGTTCAATGCACAAATAGTTTAATGCCACACCATTTTTTGATTTTGTAAATGTTACAAAATTAGTTATTTTTGTAAACTAGCAGTTGACCTATGCTATGCACGAGATAAAATATTACATTGTTAGTAAAATAAGATATATAAAATATTACACTTTTTTATTTTTTGTTGCCATTTTTTCTCTCATAAATATATATATATTTTGAAACTTTAGGAGTTCAATGCACAAATAGTTTAATGCCACACCATTTTTTGATTTTGTAAATGTTACAAAATTAGTTATTTTTGTCCCTGCCCACCCAAACTTATTTTGTTTGGCAAATTGAGGAGAGAATAGCGGGATTATGTGGTTAGAGATAAGATAATTAAAGAATAAGTTTGATGCACAAATAGAGAAAATTAAAGAAAAAGTTTAACCCACCAATAGAGGAGTTGTATAAAGTGATAAAAATACAAGTCTAATGCATCAATAGTTTAATGCCATTTTTTTTAATCAAAAACAAAACTCATAAAATTAGTTTAAAGGTTTGGAGGCGACCCATTACGTTTGGAAGTTGGAGAGAATAGTCGGACTTGGTGGTTATTAGAGACGAGGAAATGAAATATATGGTAGGACTTGTATTGAATTAGGAGATGAAGCACCAATAGTGTAATGCAATGTATTTTTTTATTTTATTTTAAAAATCACTTTTGAATAATATATAGGGGAAATAACAAAATAGTGGGAAGTAGGGCAAGTAATTATTATAATTCAGTGGGAAACTTTTTAAAAATGTAATAGAAGTGGGATGAGGGGAAAAAATTCAATGGATGGAATCTTTAGTCCTGTAGACAGAAGTACCCCTCCTCTTCCCTTTGTAACTCTCAACTGCCTCTGCCACCCCTCACTGGACATTACTGTAAAACCCCTCCCCGCCACTCCAACAAGTGGAGAATGTATGAGTAGTAGTAGTAGATGTATTCCGATGAATATATACATATATATGCGTGTGTTTTTGGGTAAATGAGGTATGCTACTTCTTAATGAACCGCTATTTTCTTGGTTCTATACATTGACCATGCTGAATTCAACATATTGCTCTCATCTTTCTGTCTTCTAAGTGAATGTAACACTCGCGTAAATCTTTGAATCCAAATGTTCCCACTTATCACATTTTTTCTCTTTTCACTAAACAAATTAACAGATCTACAATTCATGAGTTGGTTGTTGAGAGAGTACTGCCGTTTAGAAAGTTAGATATTTGCGATCAATGAACAAGGCCAGTATTGCCAACTAACAGTTTAGTGAGTGATTCGGTACTTTGGAAGAAAAACAATTGTGTTCTGGAAACCGATTGATGCAGCCACCATGGCATTGAGTCTTGATCTTCGTGGTGAAAAATGTGTTAGGTTTAGCACTTATTAAAAACAGTGTCTTTACTTTTATATAGTGCTCTGCTCTGATTTATACAAATTACAAAGCATGTTCAGATATACATATTGGATTTGTAAAGGTCTAATTCTTCAAGGTAGCGTTGTGATATAGGTTTGCCATGTCTCTGTTTAGGATAGAAAAAGTTCAATTTTTGGGCATTTCTTCTATGTGGTTGTGTTTGTTAGGTTTTGTTAGTGGACTGAGAAATGGAGGCAAATCAGGATTGGAAAATAGAATTGAGAGAAGGTATTGTGGAGTGTTCATAGCTCTGCATTTTTGTTTTGTTTTGTTTTGTTTTTTTTTTTTCATGTCTGTTTATTGATTTTTTCTTTATCGAAACAAATAAGATAAGTTAGTTACCTTAGGAATAAACATTCAATTATTAGTATGATAAATTGCCACACGACATAAAACCACTCCGCTGATAAAATAAAATTAAAAAAACATAAAACGACTCCATTAACATTATTGCATCAAAAATATTTGGTGGCCCGAATTTGTGTGGCTCGAATGTGTCAAAACTACGTCGTTTTGGGGGTTTTGAGCCATTCGAGCCATGAATTTTCGGGTCACCTATCATTGTTGTTATCGCATAGTTTGAATTTCAAAAATGGCCTTGTTTGGTCTAGTTTTCAAAATCAATTTTGAAAGATAATTTTTTGGAAAGTTGACAAAATCTGAATATTTATCTGATTGTGCATTTTGAAAATTGTTTTTAAAAAAATTAAAAGTCCAAAACTTATTTGTTTTTAGTGAAATTTTTAAATATTTTAATTAATGTTTTTAAGTTTTTAGATCAACCCAATCTAAATATAAAATTTATGAAGAAATCTTTTAAAAATTTACTAAATAGTAATAAATATGAAAAAAAATGTACTAAAATTTCATACATTTTCATATGTGTCTTGTATTTATTGAATTTTGTAAAGATTTTTTCACATTTCTTTTTTACTTTGTAAGTAAATCTAGATTAGATGTATTTTAAAAATTGGCCAATATATGAAAAAAAATTCACTATAAATATAAAAAAAAAAATGGATTAAAAACTCAAAAATTATTTTTGAAAACTTCAAAACCTAACAAAGTTTTTTAAAAATTATTTACTCATTCCACGATGGTTCTCCAAATTTAAATTTAACACATTTTTTTTCCACTATTTTCAAAAATGTTTTTTTATTAATTTGAAATACAAATTCATTTTGTTTTAAATCTTTGTATGAAGTTGCAAATAAGTTCTTTACAAAGTTTTATCCAAAAAACATTGATTAACTTCACAAAATAAATGTACCACATACATCAACATAGATATCGCTTCAATTAATGTGTTTTGATAATAGAGATAAATTTGATTGAAAATAGCTTTTGGGAATAGAGATAAATTTAGAATAGATGGGTGGACAAAAATAATTTTTTTGTTTCGTGAAATTGTTTCCGCCCTCCGAGAGACTCTTCAGGCTGGTAGTACCACTGGACCTGAACCTTGACGTTGTTCCAGTGATCGGCCTCGATCTTCGTGCCACGTATGGAGGCTTATCGGAGTCCGATGGTTGTATCAACACACGATCTCTAGCTGCCAAAAACATCCATGAACACAATATTAGAAAAAAAATTCAAAAAACTTCAAAAAAAAAAAGATTTGAGAGGGAGAGAAGGGGTACATTTGACGATTTTGTTGGTGCCTTTGATGGAGTAAGAATCCAAGGTTCTGTTTGGTAGAGCTTTTAAAGTTTAATTCTACCCCTTAGTTTGAGCGTGTTGTTTGGTTGCAGCTTTAAAAAGTTAATTTCACACCCATTTTTCAAAACACTTTTCAAAACATTCACTTTTCAATATTATGTCACATTACTCAATTCAAACTCTTTTTAAAACTCATAACCAAACAAATTTTTTATACTCAAATCATAATTTCAAAACTCATAAACTCAAAATACAACTCTATTATCAAATCATAATTTTAAACCTCTACCAAGCGCAGCCCAAGTCTTTCTTGTTAAAGTCTTTCTTGTTAGGTTTGGTCTTTGCCATGAATATGTAGAGAGATAAAGAGTTTTGGAATTTGGTAGAGAGAAGGTGTTATATCTGGAGAGATGGAGAGTTTTGAAATTTGGGAGAGAGAAGGGGTTGTATTGGAGCTTAGTCTGGAGGGAAGAATGGGAAAGACAAGAGCATGGTAATGAGATTGGAAGAGTGGGGGTTTTGGAATGGAGGAGTAGAAACCCTAGTTGCTGGGAAGAGTGATAAATTTGAAATAGTTTTGGAAAAATTCTAAACAAATAATTCAATTTTGGGCTCTCAAAATTTGATTTGAAAACTCTAAGCAAAAAGGGATAATCTACTGTCATCATATCAATCGCAACTCATGAGGATCAAGTGAAAAATTTTCCTTTCAAGGTGTTAAAGCAAGACATCCAGTTTCACTCATGCCCTCCGCGAGGCCAACAACTACCCGAGATTAAGAAGTGTTTGAGGAGCCACTAATATAGTTGGAACCCTTTTTGTAAGGGGTTAGCCCTCTGTTTTATCTTGTAGCTCCTTTGTATTTCTTTCCGAAACATCTAAAAAAAATGTTATTTTTTGGATAAGTCAGGGTGATAATGACATTTAAATTTTAATTTCCCCCAATATTTCAAATTTTCAATAATCACAATAATCTTGATATAAAATCAATCAATATAACTCAGGCTATCAATTGAAACAAACTGAATGAGCAAGTCTCTTCCTTATATATGTGAAGTCTGGGAACAAATGGGAAATTAGGAACAAATCGGAACTCACATTCAAGACTTGTAGTGTTAGAAGTCACAAATTGAGAGTGATTGGCAATATTTATGTGACAAATTTACCCATGTACATAGCATGATTTTGGGCCAATCTGTGTTATTAGAATGATGAACATCTTAACTTTTGGATTTCAATAAAATGATCATTCTATTTCAGTTTTAATTCAAATGAATCAAGCATTGTCTTGGGCAAAATTATGTTTGTCCATGCACATGGCGTGATTTTGGGCCGTTTTGTGTTACTATCATGATCTGGTACTCTCTTCTCTTTTCATTCCTTAAATTGATTGGTTTAAGAAAATGAACCCTCCAAATATTAACCAATTAAGGAAATCATATTCAAACTAGTTAAAGCAAGTGGTCAATCACAGATAAACCGAGCTCGACTTTACTAAAAAGACGATAAAAGCCATCTTCACACCCCTATGAAATTTACTCACCACTTGGTGGATGAAATCATGAAAGAATGAAAGTGAACCACACATTGTATGAGCATTCCTCATCTAGTGCTAGAAAAATTAAAGAGAATATTGGTGTACGCTAGTAAATTATTATCTACGGCTAGAAACAAATAAATATATCCTAGTAAAAATTCAATTCAACAATAATACTACTTTATCGTTGGCACTAGTATTATCGACTAACAATAAATTATCTCGTGTGTAGTGAGTCTTGTTATGCACACGTTGTAGCTATTAAAAATTATGTTGAATTTAATAGTTTGATCTAGATAGTTGGATTCACCATCATATGTGATAGATTATTATTGAATGTTGATATTATCGTCATACCCTTAATGACAATTTTTTTTAAGTGTGCAAGTGCATACCATATGCATTTGCTTATATTCTTACAAATATACGTAAGTTTTCTCACAAAATTGTGCAAGTCTTTACAAATATACGTAAGTTAACTTATAAAAATTTGAAAAATCACAATTTGCGTATATTTGTGAGAACTTACGTGATTTTTTGAGATAACTTATGTATATTTGTGAGAATTTACATACATATAATATACATCTTGCACACCTAAATATTTTTCTGTGCTTAATGTTTACTCGTAGTACCCAAAATATTTTTATTTTCTTTTGGGAAAGAATACATAAGAGAAAATTGAAAACCCTAACTTGCTCTTATTAATGACAAGGTCTTGTGAACATATATGTATAACTAGTAGAGGAATCCAAAACTGAAATTTTAGTTACAAAACATATCTACCTTCCATCCTACAAAGTAGCCAAATAATAGCAGCAAATTGACAAAAACCAATTAGGGCTAGTTTAGTTTTACTACAACCATGTACACTTACTAAGAGCAAGGGTCTAACTCTTGTCACATGCGAAACTTTTCTCTCTCCAAACTACGGTCTGATGAAAATAAAAAAGGAAAAAACCATTATAACGTATCATTTATTATTCCAATCCATCTTTCCACCCAAAAATCTCAAATAGCTACTCATTTGGTGAACATGACTAGAGTAGTTCAAGCATACCCACAAGATCCATACTCGCATTTAAGCCCCGGCGAGCACGCATTGTCACACTCGCCGCAGTTTGAGGTGTCGTAGGCAATGTTGATGCAAGTACCATGACAACAAAGCTCTCCTAGTTGGCACTTGTGCCCGCACTGCCCACAGTTGTTTTTGTCTCCAAGAACGTTGCAACAAAGCTTCTTGCAACAGTACAGAAGGCTAGTCCCGTTGTTCGTTGACATCCCATTGCACAAATTGTTATTGATCGGATCACAATCCATTACTTTCTTGATGGTACTGGCTAAGAACCGACTTCTGGTAAATCTAGGAGTGTCGCGTGTGTACTCTTCGTCGTCTTTATAGAGATTGGTTGATGAGGTTGTTTGAGAGAGGGAGGCAAGGAATGGAGTGGTGACTAGAGAGAGAATGGTTGTGAGTTTGAGGAGAGAGATAGCCATTCTCGTCCTCTCTGAAGTAATGGATGGTAGGACACAACACAAGAGTCAAGAAGACAAGGGAGGTGTGGGTGTTTTAAGAGCATCTCCAACGATAGTAGGCATTTTACCTATCTAAATATTACTATAAAGTATATATTTTATTTTGCCTATCGACTGTTTTATGTTTTTACTCCAACCATGCTCTTTATTTTAGCTATTTATCCAAATACTATTAATTTTATAGAATGCCACGTCAACAACAAAGATGGAGGGAAATGATCCTAATGATTGAATACATTTTGCCTAGCGTTGAAGGCTAGCTACATGTAGCTAGTGAATATGAGTTGAGCCAAAATGCCTAATCATATGCCTAGTGCATTGGAATTGAAAAAAGTGAATCACACTAGGCATTTTAACTAACAAGTATTATATGCCTAGTGCATTGGAGATGCTCTAAGTAGTGAGTTTTACACAAACTATTCTAACTCTATTTGGCAAGTTTTAATTAGAAGGCACTATACTCAGTTGAATTGGTTTGGAGTATTTAATGGGGTTGTGCAAAGCTCTAGATTCTTGGTATATTACAACATATATTAACTAGAGCTTGACCCACTTGACATGGATTAATAATCAAATAATTTGGTCAAGGGAAATGGTAACGGCACCCACTAAAACATTGGTTTACACAATTTTCATTGTAAGAAATTGAAATATTCATGTAATTGAGAAGTGTGTGACATGTGTGTTGCATTAATATCATCTTTTGATTAATTAAACTATGCAGGGTTTAAGAATGGTTTGGCAATTTTTTATTTTTATTTTTTGCTAGTGAACTTTTTTAAATTGTTCCAAAACTTTTCAGTTTTGGATTTTACTTTAAGGCAATTTTTTTATAGTATTTTTTTTTGTATTTTTATTAAAATTACACTTTAGATCCTTCTAAGTTTTTGACACAAGTTTTTTTAAATTAAAAAAAAAATATTTATAGTAACCCAATAACTAGGCTTGACTAAAACAATGAATTTTGATTTTTGGTTAAATAAACAACCCAATAACTAGTCTTGGCTAAAACAATGATGTTCATAGGCCACATGATGTTGACTAAAAATCTCTCTCGGCAATTCCAACAGAGATTTGTTATTACGCTTGTTGGCTTGATAGCAATCCTACACTTTTAGAAAAAAATAATTAAAAAACATTAAAAAAATATATTATTTAAATTAATTTCATGTGTAGATCTCATTATACAAATTATACGAGTACGAAATAATTCTTCTCGTGTAATCTTGTTGATCAAGCTTGTACTTCTCCTTACGTCGTCGCTTTGTCACCTGAAAATACAAATGTGAGTTAACCGGCGGGTGTGTGCCGGAAATCCCTACGATGCCTAAGTCAGCACAATAGACAATAGACACAAAAGCTCTGTGAATTCAGGAATCAAAGTTGTGTTACCTCTCCATAGGTGATGTTATGAGCTTTTATAGGTTCCGCTAGTAAATTATTATCTACGGCTAGAAACAAATAAATATATCCTAGTAAAAATTCAATTCAACAATAATACTACTTTATCGTTGGCACTAGTATTATCGACTAACAATAAATTATCTCGTGTGTAGTGAGTCTTGTTATGCACACGTTGTAGCTATTAAAAATTATGTTGAATTTAATAGTTTGATCTAGATAGTTGGATTCACCATCATATGTGATAGATTATTATTGAATGTTGATATTATCGTCATACCCTTAATGACAATTTTTTTTAAGTGTGCAAGTGCATACCATATGCATTTGCTTATATTCTTACAAATATACGTAAGTTTTCTCACAAAATTGTGCAAGTCTTTACAAATATACGTAAGTTAACTTATAAAAATTTGAAAAATCACAATTTGCGTATATTTGTGAGAACTTACGTGATTTTTTGAGATAACTTATGTATATTTGTGAGAATTTACATACATATAATATACATCTTGCACACCTAAATATTTTTCTGTGCTTAATGTTTACTCGTAGTACCCAAAATATTTTTATTTTCTTTTGGGAAAGAATACATAAGAGAAAATTGAAAACCCTAACTTGCTCTTATTAATGACAAGGTCTTGTGAATATATATGTATACCTAGTAGAGGAATCCAAAACTGAAATTTTAGTTACATAACATATTTACTTTCCATCCTACAAAGGAGCCAAATAATAGTAGCAAATTGACAAAAACCAATTAGGGCTAGTTTAGTTTGACTACAACCATGTACACTTTACTAAGAGTAAGGGTCTAACTCTTGTAACATGCGAAACTTTTCTCTCTCCAAACTACGGTCTGATGAAAATAAAAAAGGAAAAAACCATGAAAACATATCATTTATTATTCAAATCGATCTTTCCACCCAAAAATCTCAAACAGCTACTCATTTGGTGAACATGACTAGAGTAGTTCAAGCATACCCACAAGATCCATATTCGCATTTAACCCCCGGCGAGCACGCTTTGTCACACTCGCCGCAGTTTGAGGTGTTGTAGGCAATGTTGATGCAAGTACCATGACAACAAAGCTCTCCTAGTTGGCACTTGTGCCCGGACTGCCCACAGTTGTTTTTGTCTCCAAGAACGTTGCAACAAAGCTTCTTGCAACAGTACAGAAGGCTAGTCCCGTTGTTCGTTGACATCCCATTGCACAAATTGTTATTGATCGGATCACAATCCATTACTTTCTTGATGGTACTGGCTAAGAACCGACTTCTGGTAAATCTAGGAGTGTCGCGTGTGTACTCTTCGTCGTCTTTATAGAGATTGGTTGATGAGGTTGTTTGAGAGAGGGAGGCAAGGAATGGAGTGGTGACTAGAGAGAGAATGGTTGTGAGTTTGAGGAGAGAGATAGCCATTCTCGTCCTCTCTGAAGTAATGGATGGTAGGACACAACACAAGAGTCAAGAAGACAAGGGAGGTGTGGGTGTTTTAAGTAGTGAGTTTTACACAAACTATTCTAACTCTATTTGGCAAGTTTTAATTAGAAGGCACTATACTCAGTTGAATTGGTTTTGAGTATTTAATGGGGTTGTGCAAAGCTCTAGATTCTTGGTATATTACAACATATATTAACTAGAGCTTGACCCACTTGACATGGATTAATAATCAAATAATTTGGTCAAGGGAAATGGTAACGGCACCCACTAAAACATTGGTTTACACAATTTTCATTGTAAGAAATTGAAATATTCATGTAATTGAGAAGTGTGTGACATGTGTGTTGCATTAATATCATCTTTTGATTAATTAAATTTAAGAATGGTTTGGCAATTTTTTATTTTTATTTTTTGCTAGTGAACTTTTTTAAATTGTTCCAAAACTTTTCAGTTTTGGATTTTACTAGAAGGCAATTTTTTTATAGTATTTTTTTTTGTATTTTTATTAAAATTACACTTTAGATCCTTCTAAGTTTTTGACACAAGTTTTTTTAAATTAAAAAAAAAATATTTATAGTAACCCAATAACTAGGCTTGACTAAAACAATGAATTTTGATTTTTGGTTAAATAAACAACCCAATAACTAGTCTTGGCTAAAACAATGATGTTCATAGGCCACATGATGTTGACTAAAAATCTCTCTCGGCAATTCCAACAGAGATTTGTTATTACGCTTGTTGGCTTGATAGCAATCCTACACTTTTAGAAAAAAATAATTAAAAAACATTAAAAAAATATATTATTTAAATTAATTTCATGTGTAGATCTCATTATACAAATTATACGAGTACGAAATAATTCTTCTCGTGTAATCTTGTTGATCAAGCTTGTACTTCTCCTTACGTCGTCGCTTTGTCACCTGAAAATACAAATGTGAGTTAACCGGCGGGTGTGTGCCGGAAATCCCTACGATGCCTAAGTCAGCACAATAGACAATAGACACAAAAGCTCTGTGAATTCAGGAATCAAAGTTGTGTTACCTCTCCATAGGTGATGTTATGAGCTTTTATAGGTTCCGTGTGGCATAATCCTAGTAGGACTCTTATTTCTCCATGCAGAGTCCTCCTAGGAATCACACTCTTGAAAGATAATGCTTATCCTTCAACACCCGCTTCACTGCTTAAACCAAGTGAGATGGTTTTACCCCGGTTGGACGGCAGTACGACCGAGCTAACCCAGCTCAGATCTTCCCTTCAGTGCCTGTACCCTGGTTATGCATACTCCAACTGGGCTGTTAACTTAAAACCGAGCTAACCGAGCTTGGTGCTCCAATGCAAAACGCCAAGCTAGCTTGGCTCTCGTTTAGTTGTACCTCGGTAGCTTGTCGAAACTGGGCTAATCTACAGCCTGCTATGACCGTGCTAACCATAGCGAGGTCTACCGTGTGAAGCCATCATACCTTGGCTTCAAACACTATGACCGAACTAACTCCACTCCGACCGTGGTAACTGTTATTCCACTTGGACCGCCCTGCTACTACAGTCCACTTGCCAAGCCCTTTTCTACCGTAGCCCATCGAACGACCCATTACTCAGCTCGACCCAATTTACTTATAAATTACCCTCTCAATTGTCCCTTAATTCCATCTGCACAGCATGATTAGGATTAACTGTTATCAACCGAGCTAAAAACTTTAGTTTTTCAACCGAGATAAAATGCTGCCGAGCTACCGATTGGTTCGGTCGAAAAACGTCTCTTCAGTCACGCTGTCATCTGAATCGCTTATTCTTCCAAAAACACGTGTCGAGCCCCCACTGGCTGAATACAACTGTCATAGCCGTCTTCGTACTTCGCGTATTTTGAACAGTCCCGCATTTTTTCCTTCCCTTTTCACAAAACAAACCCTAAAGCTTCGAATCCATCGTTTCACTATTCACCTTCTCTCTCTCTTGCTTGAGCCTCGATTTCTGCAACCACTATTTTTTGCAAAGCTCGTGTTCGTTGTTGCCACTGCTTCCATCTCCAGCTCCTTCATCTTCATACTTGTAAGTAACTTAATCCTCTTTCCTCTTTCCTCTTTGTTGATTTCATATTTATTTTGTACAACATAGTATGCGTATTTGTATGTTTTGGCAAAAACACATATTCCTATTTTTGCTTTAGCCTTGTGTTTCCTGGAAAAAAAACCTTGTGACATGACCACCGTATACATGAACAATCCAAACAATTTTCCCTTTGATCTAAAATTTCACTCCAACCGAACTAGGATACTATTTGTATTTAGGCGTAAGCTTAGCCAAACTTAATCAACCGAACTAAAACCTGTGGTTACAATAGGTCTAAGTACCTTTTGCCACACTTTAGCCAAGCTAGCGATCTGCCTTAGGTTTGCATAATACCGCGCTAGAAAGCCCTATCTACCGACCGAGCCACAACTTGGGGCTAAACCAGCTCCCTTAGTCAAAACCGAACTAAGAATGCTGCCCCAAATGCTCAACTGGGCTCAAGACCCTTGTTCAAACCGGGCTAAGAATAGACAGTATCCCACGTAGCCGAGCTAGGACTTCATTTATCTTGCCTTTGTTTCTTTTAGCACGGTCTAACGATCTATGCTTAATACTTTTCTTTTTCACTTGCAGACTTTGACTAGGTTGCCCAGGCACTCCTCTGACCGTCCGACCGAGATAATCGACCTCATCTCAGCACCGAGCTAGCACTTGAGGCTAATTTATACATAATTTATTTCCACATGGGTAAATATAGGTTTTTAGTAAACTCACCAGGTGCCATGGCCGAGTTCCGAAGGGACTACCATATCTCTGATGATATCCATCTCACTTTAGCCGAACTAGATACCACACCCTGGGGAAACCCTGGCTTTGTTCCCTTTACCCTTCTTTCTATTGTAGAAACCAGACTTAGATTCCCTGTACAGCCTCTTCTTTGCGAGTTCCTTAGACAAACTACCCTCTGCCCTTCCCAGCTTTCCACAAATTCATACCGCATAATAAATGGCATCGCCGAGCTAAACCGTCGGGCTGGCCTTAACCTCAGTTTAGCCGAGCTCTTCTACCAATATTCCATAGGTTCAAATGAAGATGGCTGGGTTTACTATTTAAGAATAAGGCTCCGGCGTGAAAAGATAATAAAGAATACCCCAGACAAGGATGTAAACGACGATGATTTCTTCTGGGTTTCTGGGAACTTCGAAGACCAAGAAGCCCAGATCCCGGGCGACCGAATAAACTGGAATAAAGGAGTCGCCGGTATAATTACCTCGGCTCAGTTTTCTGCTTTCTTTTACCTCGGTTTTCATATCTTGAACCGTACTAACTATTGTCCTTTTTACTTCATGCAGATTTGAATTTTCTAAAGTCACAGTATAGCTACCCCAACTTAAACGCATTTCGCGCCGCACTGCGATATCCCAATAGCAGTTGGGCCGAGCTACTAAATTTTGAACCGACATACAGATACAACAGCCGCAGGAAGACCAGGGTGACCGATTTCTTATTGGAGCCCTCGCCTAAGCCTGATCCAATACTTCCTCAAGTCAACTTGATCCCATTGGCAGCGGAGCAAGAGATGGTCAAGAAAAGAGCAGTAAGGGCCCTCCTTACCGAAACAAACCAGGTCGAGGTACCACTAGCCGCCCAAACTCAAGAGACCGTGGTAGCCCTGCCAACCCATCAGCCTTCATCATCTCGGGCAAGCAAGCGTGCTCAGACTTCCACAACCGAGCCACGTCTTGTCGACAAGGATGAAACAGTGCTTTCCCAAACCATTCCACCGAGCCCACAACCTGAGCGCTCCCAGCGAGCTAGCTCTTCTAAGTGGGCACCAAAGATTACATTCCAGAACCGTGCTATCACTGATTCCGATTCAGTGGTCTCCGAAAAAGACCATTTGATGGCATTCAATCTTGCTAAAAACGTTTGCCTTCTAGCCGATATGGAGCACCACAACCATCTTACCGAGCTGAAGGCCATTCGCTCGGCCACAAAATCAATGGTGCTGGTAAGTTGCCCCTTTGTTTGTCTTTCCAATTTGTTCATCTTTCTGTTCGGTTTTACTAAAAAGTTTCTTACCACCCTTTTATAGGCCATGCAGAAAAATCACATCGCTCACAAGCGTGTGTTGGAACTGCGCAAGTCAACAAGGCAGGCCATGGCAGAGGCCAATACCAAAACCGCCGAGCTAGGAGAGGCGAAGAAGCAAATAGCCAAGCTACAAATCGAGAGGGTTCGTCTGATCGGTCTTGTCAGCTCGGCTGAAGCAGACAAGCAAAAGGCGGCGGTCGTGATAAAAGATAGATATCTGTGTGAGCTGGCCAAGCTCGAGAGAAAAAAGAACGCCGAGATAACCGAACTCGAGAAGAAGGTTGAGGACGCGAAAGACTGCGGTTACAAGGAGGGAGAGGCTATTTACATCAAGCAATGTGAAGTTGCAAAAGATCTATTCTTCAAATGTGGATGGATGACAGTTGCGGTGTAGCTTGGTCATGGCCTAGAGACCGAGGTCTTCCTTAACCCTCCTCCGTATTTCATACTGAGCTCTATGGCGGAGTACGCTGCTGCCATACAGCAAAAATTTCTGCAAGAGGAGGACGAAGATTCTGCTCCAGAAGACAACTCCCAGCCTGGGCGCCAGTCAATCTCCCCAACGCCAGTGGTCTCCATCCCACTTTTGCCTGTTGTGTCTGATGCGGTGCCTTCAACCGAACTTAACCAAGATGTGCTTGCCACAACCGAGCTACCTTTGGATGAAGACCGGGTTGTTTTGGATGCTGACCTGGACGATCTTTTCTCCTGATTTTTCTTTTCTTTGTCAAGCAAAAGAGTTTGTAACCGGGCTAAGGCCCCACCTTTTATACTTCTGATCTGCATTTATCAATGAAATCTTCTTTTGTTTCAACTGTTGTTTCGGTTTACTGCCATGCTTGTACTTATTTTCTAACTGTAATCTGAATGAAGTATAA